CAACACAGTGTTTTACTTCTAGACGGACACAATTCGATGGTTCTAAAACGTGCTATACCTTAATGCCGGTATACGACTTGAACTATAGTACAAAATTTCACTGTGTATACATTTTTCAAAACAGTGAATAATCTATTTTTTAGAATCTTATTAGATTGTATTGAGGATTGAGCAATGTTTTATCTTAGTTGAAATTTTAGCTTCGTCCAATCACATTGTTCCATTATGGGTTCAATTGTATACACGTGTACAATATCAAATGCAAATGAATGGATGTGGTTCGTCCAAAAATGGGTGAATTCACAAACGAAGATGTTAAAAGGGGAGGAAAGAGAAGATACAAATATCATAAACAATTTCAAAGCCATATAGATTGTCCTTCTCAACTCATCCAATATTGCATGATAAACGAAGTATTATATTACACCGTTTGACCCAGTTCTTGTCTAACATGTTTTTTATTCTTGCCCTTTTTGAATAACTTCATTTCAGAAAGAAAAATAATAAAGATTACGTTAACTACTTCCATTGTTAACTAACAACAATTGAAAGGGAAAAGAATTAGCAATGTTAAATAAAGGCAACAATAATGTTAATATTATCCTTTGTTTACAATCTTTGAAAGATTCATCTTTGCGTGTGTGCAAGAGTGTCACATAAAACAAAAATCTTATGACACAAATCTTATAATTCGTGTAGCGGTCTTTGTAGGATTAAGACTTTCTGAATCAAAGAACTGAAATATTAAATCTAGGGTATGTTGACCACTATAGTTAGAGTACATATGTTCATTACAAGAAACATAAGCCGGGATGATATTTGAATATTACGAGAAATGGTTACGTTGTACATTTGATCACTATTCGAAAACAAAATATCAATATGGGTCAGAAGATCCATGATATAATTTTCGCATACAAATGAAGATAAGCAACGGAGTTTTGATGTGTATATTATCTTGTTGACTGGTTGGTTTGATATTTCTTCTATTTGATGATATATCTGAAATGAAATACTATTATAAAGTAGTATATGTTTATTGAAATTGTCGAGTTAGAATTGCGTAGTAAGATAATAAAGATAAATGCCAGGTAGCTGAGACCAGGTAGCTGAGACCAGGTAGCAATAACAAGAAAGTTCCTATAAAAATAAATCTTTAGCAAGGCAAAATATACGATCCCGTCGAACTTCCACTATTGTTTCTTTGTCTTTCAAAATTAGATGCCATTAGTCCGGTCACATCCCTTTCCATCTTTCTGTTCTTAGCTTGAATATACATGCGTGTAGCCTTTACATCGGATGTTAGAATAACATTGATCGAATCAATCAATATTTTCTAAGTTATCAGAGCACGATCTCTCAAAAGAAAACGTTCTTGACATCAGCAACATTCTATTTGTTCCCATTCTCATGATCATGTCGAATTCGTTAATTTTTTTCGTAATGCAAAATTATTGTCCGTAATGAATATTCTTTTTTTAAATGACCATGGAAGTTCCCTGGGATATAAAAAATATAATCTCCAGCCTGTCAGAAGATTGGGACATCCGTTCGGTTGAGCGGGATGTATATAGGTGTTCAGGCCGATTGGAGACGTAATGTTTTATGCCAGAATGTGACTGAATAATTTCTATCTGCCTAGTGTCAAAATATTTTATCATTACTGAAGAATCAAGCTTTCTTTCATTTTTTCAACTTACAAAGTCGAAATGACACAATTTGTTAACAGATTTACTCACTAACTTTGGTGTTACGATATGGACTCGTCTTAACAAAGTTTACCGTGTCCCAAAGATCACAAAGGCTTAAAAAGCGTTTCTGAATGCCAATAAGGCTCTTGGATAAAAAAAGAAGTCAATTTTACTTTTTCTTATACAAATCGATAAAATTTGATCAATTTTAATCTTAGATTAAAATCTTCCTTTTACTTCGGTATTAAAGTCAAAGTTAATGATTTAGGTGCTTTATGTGAATACTTTGTGCAATACAAAAACAAAACGACAAAAGTAAACCAACAAGCAAGGGAATTACTTGATGTTGTGTTTAGTAGAAAGAGAAACAATGCTGAACATTATGAATTGCTATCGTTGACTTACGTTGCTGGTGGTTATTTTTATAACCTTTGAAAACCAATTTTAGAGGTATTTTTCAGTACAACATGGAAAATTGACAAATAATCTATCATTACACAGAATGAATATATAGAAGTTTTCACTCTTGATAACCATCTTATTGGCAATAAAAAAACAAGCTTACAGCTCTTCTATAAAAGCATGCAAAGCAAACCTTTGATCAACTTGCTTGCTATGTTTTTTTGGATGTTTGTAAACAAAAAATAGGTAGTCTGTTTCAGTCTGTTTACTATATAATGGAATTTGATTGGACAATAAACATTAACTTCATTGCATGTCAATTTTTATTGTCCAATCAAATCCTCGTATATATAAAACAGACTGAAACTCCGCCTACCTATTGTTTGCAAACATCCAAGCAAACATAGCAAGCAAGTTGATAGCCTGACATCCCGGCCCGATCTAGCTGCGCGTCGCAAGGGCCAGGTGGGGAACAAATACCACGTGATCGATTCAGTGCCAGTTGACTCTGAATCTAAAGTGAGGCTGAATAAATATTTGCATAAATTTTGATGTTTGATGTAAACCAGAGATTTCAAACCAATGATTAAGAAACATTGCTTCTGATTCAATACATTTTGCTCTCAGATTGACGAGTCCCCATTGTCAGTAATATAATAAAATAAATATATATTAAACAGTATAAATAAATACTAGTATGTGTAATCAAAAGAAACTTTGAAAAATGTTGTACATTTAATATATATTTTATCAGGAAGGATTATATGGGGTAAGAGTCAACGAAACAACTCTTTATTTATAAAAATCAAATTTAATAAATATTGTAATTGTCTAATGTAATTATAATTTAAAATAGATGTACGATGGTGTATCTTCGCACATGTACACATCATTTGAAATGTAACCCCTCTCCCAAAAAAAAAATAACTGCAATTTTTGTTGGCCTTTACTTTTTATGTTTTTTTCCATATATATTTTGCCCTTTGAGATACATGTGTACATGTAAATTAGGTCGTAAAAGTAAAATCCAATTCACACCTTGGTCATGTGAAATCTTAAACTTTTAACTTTCTCACCAGTTGATTACTGATAAGAATTAACCCTTTTCTGCTTACTAATTATCATCACACTAATAATTAGATATGATAACACTGTACATCAATTCATAAAGAAAAATAAATACAGTCTAATTTTTACTAATTGATGTTAAACAAAAATTGATTGGATACAGATGTAAAACAAACATTGCGCGACAAAATTAGTATTAACCAATCATTGACAGGCAGGACATTGATACACGCCTGGCTATACTGACAGATTACTGACAGATTAGCCAGGACCCCAGGCTAGCAAGTTGATCAAAGGTTTGCTTTGCATGCTTTTATAGAAGAGCTGTAAAATTTTATCGAAACCTTTTCTAAATAACCCCAAAATAATTTTGAACATGGTAACAGGAGAGACCAGATATTACACCACCTATCAAAAAATGTTTCAATATATTCTTGTATGACATTATCAAGATTGCATCTTTCAATATGTTGCTCCATAAGTATTGTTTATTTTGATTTTTTCTTATGAAGTGGGTGGTTTAAATTAGTAACTTTTATTCCATTTTGCAATTTCAAGATTCGACATTTTTTGAAAATAATATGGCGGACCGTGATTTGAAATGGCAAGGGTGATAACGAACTGTCGATTAAAAGAATCTTGTGGAAATTACTGTAAAGAAATAACGCTAAATTCAATGCCTGTCATGACTTTTTTCTTTACTTTGATGTAAATAATTCTTCAAAATATAAACTATTTTATTAGTTGTAAATCATAAACAAGATATCATCCTATTGAACAGAAAGAACACTGAGTATCTCTTTGTGTCTGAAAAAGGGTATTGAAGGCCGTACTTTGACCTATAATGGTTTACTTTTACAAATTGTGACTTGGATGGAGGGTTGTCTCATTGGCACTCATACCACATCTTCTTATATCTATATATTTTCTTTTTCCTGAACTATTTGATACCGGATAACTATTTTAATATCTTATTCTATATAAATCAAGATTAATATTAATGATTCGAAAGTTCCTCATAAAATTAAATATTTTTTGAAAAAAATTGAGGTAATTCATAATTTTTATGCTAATTATTTTTTTTTATTTTTCGAACCATGTAATCGCATATAAATAGATTCATCTTTAAAAATAAAAAAAACCAATAAAAATTCGAATAACAAACAACTTTAATACAATCGATACATTACAATATCGAAAGTAAAATGAATGAAGAAAGTTAAGAATGCCAAACATAAGATTGATTTACAACTGACATGGTGCACTTGACGGCAGATTTTTAAAAGTCCAAAGAAAATAGGACGTTGGTTAACGTACTTAAAAGTACTAAAGATAATGACTTTTTTGACTAATTGCTTGTTCAAATAAATAATAAGTTCTTTTAATACAAATATTTTCTCTTATTTACGCAACAATTATTGTGTTTGTGTCTTCAGGGGCGAATATTGATTGGTATATCCTCGTTGATGCCTGCGGCAGAATAACAGTAAATGGTTCGCGCTGCAGCTCGCTGCTGGACACCGTTGTTCAAGTGTCTCTTGTCTATAATTGTTTTGTAGAAGTTTCGATATGACAATATTGTTATGCTTATAGTCAATGTGGATCCCGGACTCTCGGAGCGCGACATCGGACGTGAACAAAATGACTGTCATCAACTATTTAATTAGTTCCAGCATTTGAAAATGACATCTCGATTGGCATGTAATTAAAATAGTATATAAATATGAAAATCTTAAATCTTAGAATTAATAATTGTCCATCCCAGTCTTATATAAAGTGTCACCAATGTCACCACATAACACTTCTATAAAGTTGCTTGACGAACATTGTCACCAAATTCAAACGATTTAGAAATCTATGGAAAAATTGGAATAACATAAAATACTCAGAATTTCTGTTAAAGAAACAAATATGGATGTACAAAGAGACATTCCTCTACAATTTTACAACTATTGCCGTGCGTTTGAAGAAGATGTAGTCAACGATTGCTGTGATTCCGGCCCTTTGCTTGTCGACACGTCTACCGACTCGGGAATGTACAAACACCAAATCGACGACGGACAAATGCAGGGTCTTATTGGACCAAACCAAACAATGTGTATTGGTGAGGACGATGTCTTTGTGGACAGTTTCGACGCCCGTAGAGATTATTTTGACTATAGATTCGGCATGAAGCCTCAAAGGCAAGCAGCTAATGTTAGGGAACGGAAGCGAATGATGAGTATAAACTCTGCTTTTGAAGAACTCCGTTCATTTGTGCCAACATTTCCATATGAAAAACGACTCTCTAAAATAGACACTTTGCGCTTGGCCATTGCTTATATTGCTTTACTTAGAGACATGTTGAAATCAAAGGAGACAGATCCACTACTCTTTCTTGAGCAATCTCTAAAATCTGGTGTTGGTGGAAGAAGAAGGGCTATTTGGAACACTAGTGGTAAGAACTCATTAATCAACTTTTATTAGACGGAAAATTACGCATTGACGTATATACCATTGCATTTAGTTTGTAGTATCTTTTTTTAAAAGATAATTTCTATGTTGTAAAAAGTATACCTCTAGAATTATTTTTTTTGTCTTGAGTTTAAAAAAAATAATGTTATTTCAATATCAGTATTGACGGATATACTGTTGGGGTATGTCTTTAAAATGTTTTAAAGCAGATAGGTATCATTTCTTATACTTACAAGGACGAATTTTATAGATTTAAGAATTACTTGCCTTTTACTTGATAATGATATATTTATTTTTATTTAAAGCATCAGAAAAGAATGTTTGAACATACTAACCTTTACCCGTCTGTCTTTGCTAAGATGAATTATATATTCATTATGTTATTTTTTCTAAGAGACAAAATATATTTATTCTGTATTTGCGCTATGGTTAATCATTCAAATGACCAGTAAAAATGACTTTTTAGTTTTTTGTTGTGGTGCCTTCTGTTCTTAGACCAGGAAAATATCCCGTTATTCTTGAAAGTCTTTAACATTAAACAAATGTCATATTTTATCTTTTCGTATTTACAAGAATCCTAAGTAATGTACCTGCCGTGCTGTTTCATTTGTTGTGATTTGTGATTTTTTTCTTTTAACTAGAACAAAATTCCAGTGCAGTCAATGAAATATTATGTAAATGTTCACAGCCAAACCGAATTAAAATATAACTTTTTCTTAAAAAATATGTCTCAAAAGGATCGAATCATTATTACATTTGCACGAACTTACAAACAATGAGTTGATTCTTTGAATTATTTATTGTCACAAGCTTCGAGAAAAGTTTTATTTAATGCAAGTGAAAAAAAAATTTAGATATTTTTTTTTTGCAAGTCTCCTATATAATTTTAATCTTTCATTTAATATATTCATTTTTCGAATGTTTTTTTTCAATAACAATGAAAGAACATATAGTATAGAAGTAGGAGATTTATATCAATATTAAATCTAAAGCATTATATTTCTACTAACTATTTATTTTCTATTCGTCCATACATGAAAGTATTATATCAATATAATACTTCCATGGTCCATACTACATATAATTTCACATAAAGGTTGATTAATTCTGATCTAAAGCGACGGATAACAAGGTAGTTTGAGCAGTAGTGGCTTCCTAAATAGTTGTATAGTAGACATTGTAAAAAGGTGATTTGCGTTCTAAAAATGGAGGACAACTTTGATCAAATATCCGTTTCAAATCCACACAACATCCTTTTTTCAAAAAGGTCATTGACATCTGTTGGAATTTGATTCAGAATACTAGTATTAAAAAGTCTATATCATATGCTTTTTTAAACTTTTTTGTTAACAATACCACATATTACCCCCAAAAAAATATTTTCCGCGCTATATGTTACTGTTGAAAGCATTTTGATAAGCATCGACTCCTGTATTATTTTGCAAACCAGGTGATCTGTTTAGAAATAAGACATGATATTGTTAGAACTTCAAAGCACACTTATTGGAGTAGTGATATAATAAATAGAAATAAAGATTGACAGAGATTTTAAAAATGGCCCTTGTGTGAAATAAATTCCGGGAATATTAAACATACCTCTATAATATATACGGAGCTGATTTTAATCAGATTGTGTAGAAATGAATAATTAACAGTTGACCGTTATGTGACGGCATAGATGTTGAAACAAACAATAAACCGACGAAATCGTTGTAAAGGGAACGATAAAAAAAAAACAATAGATATTATTTTTCCTTTTTTTATTATTTCAGATCTTAAAGCACGTTTGTCTTGGATTAGATGGGATAATCTTGGAGTTCACCGTAGACCAAAGTTAGAAGACCTTTCGTGATGAATCGACTATACCACTTTATACTGTGTTGCTATTTATATATTTATTTTTCGTTTTTGTTTTGTAATAAATATAGATTTTAAACATTTGTATGTCTGCAGTCGCATTATTATGATATCGATCTCATTCTCAAATAAAAACAAGAACCTAAATATGGGACTGAGATGTGGGTTCAATGAGACGGCATCCACACGAAACAAAAACAACAACAATTACTAGTAAACATCATCAGGTCAACATACGATCTTTGTCTATAGACAACTATCTATACCATGCATATCACAAGCCCTAAGTGGTTAGTCGAGAAAGCTGTAAATAGATCGAAAAGAGACTATCATATATCTGTCATCAACACCAAATTCCTTAATGACATTAAGTACGTTACAATTATCTAAATACATTACAATTAAGTTGAATTAACTAAAACATTACAATTGACTTAAACAACCAATGATGATATATCTGACTTTGGACAGGCACCGTGCATGTGTTGTGGGATTCATCAAGTTCTTTTTTCAAATCTCGAGAATACCTTTTTCTTTTATTATCGGCGCACTTGTACAAAAGGAATGTACAATATACTATATAAATACAGAAAAAGCACTAAACAAAAATAATGATAAACAATGCCGAACTAAAATGATTAAATGGAATCAAGATCAAAGTACTCAACCCAGGGTTTTCGATATCACAAACTTGTCAAAACATTTACTAAACTTTATCATCGGTACAAGGACATCATTCGTAAATATAAATCAACGTGCAGACATCTTATACGTTCAGGTATTTCACATCCAATCTTTTATGATAGTATTCTATACAAAGCACAAAAATGTCGTCATTCACCTCAAAAGCTAACCAAACCTTTAAACAAACTAATTCAGAAGGTATATAGTTACGATACTGTTGTCAGGTCATTAAAGATGGCATTTTTTAGAATTAATATTGATTCACTATGCATAGGGTCTTTGCATCGGAAATAAACACATTTATTCAAAAACCAGTTGTTGGCATGATACGGGTTATGTTCTTCTCGTATATTTTATGATGGTATGATACTAAACCCCTAACGGGAGGGATTGTGCTTGATTTTCATATGATGAAGACATAATTTTTCAATCAGTTTAATTGAGGTCTGGAACGGCCGGGCATGTCAGTAACTGCTATTAGTCCCTTGTTAATTTATGTGTCATTGTCATTTTGCTTAGCTTCAACTGTTACCTAGTCTGACATCGGACTTCTTTTTAACTGAGTTTTACTGTGCGTACTGCTTTGTGTTTGTTTATTCTACATTGGCTAGAGGTATAGGGGGGGATTGAGATCTCACAAAACATGTTTAATTTGCGCCTGTCTCAAGTCAGGAGCCCCTGGCCTTTGTTAGTCTTGTATGTTTTTTAAATTTTAGTTCATTTATATGTTTCGGAGTTTAGTGTGACGTCCATTTTCGCTGAACTAGTACACCTTTTTGTTTAGGGGCCAGCTGAAGCCCGCCTCCGGGTGCGGGATTTTCTCGCTGTGTTGAAGACCCATTGGTGGCCTTGGGCTGTTTTCTGCTCTTTGGTCGGGTTGTTGTCTCTTTGACACATTCCCCGTTTCCATTCTCAATTTTCATTTAAAATTTTACTCAACCATCGAGTATGGAATCATGTCGTACAGTAGTATAATGTAGTGTTGACGACTGGAGTAGATTTTATACAATAACGCCATAAGAAGTGCAGGAAGGAAAATGGTAACGCCCAGCGTAAATAAAGGTTCAATGCAGTGAAAAAAAGCAGTAAACATTCAATTAATAATAAAATCTACATTGATTTCTTATTTTTTGTATTATTTTTTTTTCATACATTTGCTGACCTTTAGTTTTCTCAAGAATTTGTACAAATCCTTGGTTTTCTAAAACAGAATTTCTTAAAATCTGTCCAAGTCGTATGTCGCACACTTAGTAAGATTTACCAAGTAACACACTTTACTAACCAGTTTCAATATATAATACAAGTTTGCCTTCATGCGGTATATGTTGTGGGATCTTTTAAAACATAAAAGTGTTCATTTTAAATTTATTTGATTATTTGAATGTTAATTGATCATTCTACGTTTATCTAAAAAATTGAAAATGATTTGGAAAATATTCAAGATATTGGGTCAAAGGGAGATAACCGAAACTAGATATGAAGATTTTGTTTAAGAGCTTCACATTAAACTTTTATCATGTTGTAATTCTCCAATGCCAAAGCCCGCACTGTATGAACACTTAAGCAGGAATCCCCCGATACATGTATCACTAAAAAAGTAAAAAACGGCACAGAATTAATTCTAGCGAATCTGTTTTTTTTTCAGCGCATTTCTGATTTTCAAGGCCAGTTTATTTTACTAGTATTCGATGCAACAGGTTACAAAGAGATAAATTCGCATACTAAATATTGGCGGAAAACTTGGCCAATGTCATTTTAAATGTGCATAAGCATTTAAAGATATCTCGGAAAATTTAATTCTACTTCAGTGCTATCCGTAACTCATTTTACAAATGCTGAAAACGCCTTGTTTCAACAGTAGAGATAGAGGGTAGCTTTCTCTTTTTCTCATATTGCTTGATCAATTTGTTGTTTTCATATGGCATAATGTTGCTCTTGTTGCACAAATTGTGTGCCTGCGTGTTATAGTAACAAACGTAACGAGAAATTATTTTACCCAAAAGCCTATGTCTTTCAGTACTGCACGGGGTCGAATAACTTGAATAAATAGATAGATTGCAAATGCGGATCCAGGATTTTGAAAAAGTGGGGACCCGCGGGCCCCCAAACTAGACAAAGTTTGGAGTGGAACCGTAAACAGTCTGGATTAACCATAAATGTAGCTCCCGATAAAGGGGGCCCCGGGAACCATGCCCTCCTCCCATAAATCCGCCTCTGGATTGTGCATAATTCCTTGCGTGGAGTCAAATCCTTATTTCGATAAAAGAAAGAATGAGATAATTTGCCTGCCCAAATTTTGCAACACACACGTATATATAGCTAGTCAGTGGGGTTGTCCTACGAGCAGATAGTTGTTTTTATTCTTTAAAGCATTTGGTGTTTGTGGAAGCTCTTCAGTATCTTTTAATTTTTATTCGCGCACATCTTTCTATAGACTCTTGTCGATTTAAAGCTTGATAAATGGTAAAGATTCTTTTAAGTGTCTTTCGTTTGAAGAATGTATCCTTACTTATATGTGTTTGTCTTTTTTTGTCTTTTTTTTTGAAAAGGAAATCTCGCGACGGGAATCTCTCTTTGCCGTATGGTTTGTGAAAATTTAATAATACATTTTGTACGTGTAAATTTGGATGAAATATTTACTTTTTAACCCCAAAAAATTAGAAAATCCGTTTTTAAGTCTTTTCTGGATATGAATCGTGTTGCTGGGTTTCTGTCTTGTTTATGTATTTCTTTCCTCGTACTCCAATAATTTATAAAAACACTCTTCAAATATCATATAATTGGCATGTCTTTTGGTTGATTTTAACCCAACAAACCTGGATTTACACATTTTAATTCTGTTCATGATATACAGTTTTATAAAGAACTAAATGAAAAAAAATTATTTGTACAGTCTACTGGAACATGCGCATCATTAGCAATGGGTTCCATTCAGTATAAAATGCAAAGTCGGCTTTCCTCTGTCGGAACTTTAATATAAATTATATGGTTCGCTACTGACCCCGTACGGATCCATAGAGGGTTAGTAAAATCCATAGGGGTGAGGCCGGAGGCCGAATCTCCTATGGATTTTATTCACCCTCTATTGTCCGTAGGGGGTCAGTAGTTAACCGTATAACGAATTTATCGCACGCGATACTTTTTCTGCAGCGTTTTGTAGAAAAATAAACAATGAAATACAAAAACATCAATAGATGACGTCACCATTAACAGTAGACGTGACGTCATGAACCCACTATGGAATTTACTAACCCCTACGGATCCATAGGGGGTCACCACGTGACGGCGTTAAACCAATCACAACGTGATAATTTACCAGCGGTGCGATAAAGTCTCATATATTGACATATGTATAATTATCCATTTTTAGATGGTGACGTTCCCTTGTCACCATCTTACGGTGTTTATATATCTCAACTTGTACGATTCGCTCTTGTATGTAACAATGTTTTAGATTTTAACGAGAGAAATTTATGTATTACTGAAAAATTATTACACCAGGGTTTTCGACATCACAAACTAGTCAAAACATTTACTAAATTTTATCATCGGTATAAAGACATCATTCGTAAATATAGCTCAACATGCAGACTTCTTATACGTTCAGGTATTTCACATCCAATTTTTTATGGAAATATTCTTTATAAAGCACAAAAATGTCAGTATTCACCTCTGAAGCTAACAAAACCTTTAAATAGACTTATTAAGAAGGGATATAGTTACGATACTGTTGTCAGGTCATTAAAGATTGCATATTTTGGCGTTAATATTGATTCACTTATAGGGTCTTTGCATCGGCACTAAACACATTTATTTAAAAACCAGTTGTTGGCATGACACGGGTTATGTTCTTCTCATATATGTTATGATGGTATGATACTAAACCCCTAACGGGAAGGATTGTGCCTGATATTCATATGATGAAGACATAATCTTTCAATCAGTTTAATTGAAGTCTGGAGCTGGCATGTCAGTTAACTGATAGTAGTCTGTTGTTATTTATGTATTATTGTCATTTTGTTTATTTTCTTTGGTTACATCTTCTGACATCAGACTCGGACTTCTCTTGAACTGAATTTTAATGTGCGTATTGTTATGCGTTTACTTTTCTACATTGGCTAGAGGTATAGGGGGAGGGTTGAGATCTCATAAACATGTTTAACCCCGCCGCATTTTTGCGCCTGTCCTAAGTCAGGAGCCTCTAACCTTTGTTAGTCTTGTATTATTTTTAATTTTAGTTTCTTGTGTACAATTTGGAGTTTAGTATGGCGTTCATTATCACTGAATGCGAACCTTCAATTAAATTTCTCTTTTCGAATTTCTACTAGGATTTCCC